TCCGAAAACACAAGTGATATTAATCCTTAATTTTACGAGGAACCATGTGATTACTTGTTTATAATATAAGGGGCAAAATGTTTTCTTACTGATCTCGCGCAAAACGGGACGCCATTGTTACAAAACAAACAGAAATTTCTTTACCTTGGCAGCCGTTGCTATGCGATTTTCAGCCAATCATTTTCAAGTAATTTTGCCCAAGTAATTAAGAAAAAAAATGCCCTCTGTCTTAACCAATCACAATTCAGTAATTTTGCCCCTTATATGATAAAAGCGAGGAATATATCGTATGAAGTCTCCTTCCCTTTTTTCTGTAGCTGCTTTGTCGTTTACGGTCCTTTTTAACGCTGTTTTGGCGACTTTCTTTGTAACGTGTGTGGTGCTACCGGTCAACTGTGTATAAAAAAACTCAAGGCTGGAAACTTCACAGGCGGCCCAAGCGTACTGTGTATGACTTTGGGGCGTAAAGTTCATTAACGGCAATAGCTAACATAATAAGACTGAATTTCAAGCGTACTTGTGGGCCGTTAAAAAATACCCTGGTCCCAGAGGTTCTCTTCTCTCTACCGGAGTACGAGAATTCGGCGCGAAGCGCCGACCAACGAGCTGCAAAGCAGCGAGCGGAGAAAACCTCTGGTCAGGACCGTTGAGAATCTCACTTTCATGCCACCAAGCCTCGGGTGACAGCCATTAATCACGCCCGCTTTCCGAAAACCAATCAGAGTAAAGTACTAGAATACCTCTGGGGGTAAAATACCTCTGATTGGTTGTCGGAAAGGGGCGTGATTGATGGCTGTCACCCGAAGCTTGGTGGCATGAAAGTGAGATTCTCAACGGTCCTGACCAGAGGTTCCCTCCGCTCGCTGCCTTGCAGCTCGTTGGTCGGCGCTTCGCGCCGAATTCTCGCACTCTGGTAGAGAGAAGAGAACCTCTGGGACCAGGGTACGCCAGGTCTGGAAGAGTTTGTCAGCCTGACGAGCTTTGAAGAGAATTTACTCCATCGAATGTCGGAAGACTTCAGATTGCAGTGGTAGTTTAATTGACCAATTCACAAAAATTTACCATTTCAACTTTGTTGATATATCCAAATTATTTCGTTACCTCCACCGACACAGCACCAGACAGTTTCTTTATTCACAAGAACAATACGTATAGTAACAGTCGACGCAAAACCCGCCAAATCGCTAAAATTCGCCATTTAGAGCCACAGAAACGACAATACACAGCAAGTGAGGTAGGTTTACATTTATTTTGAGCTTTAACTCAGACATTTCATGATATAAGTTTACGATAATAAGACTCTCCAATATTCTCCCATACATTCCTTTATCATATTTCGAATAGTGCGTGGAAAATTAACGTCTCCTACCCCTAACCCTACGGGAGACGGGACACACAACGCGTGACGCTTGCATGAAATAATCCTTCGCTTTTCCTCAAGACGTGAGCTTGGGACGCCTGTGATGTCACTTATCCTCTTTAGAACAAGGGAGACAAGCAATTGTTCATTGTTGCTTAGTTACTGATAATGACTGACAGCAATATAGAGTGATTTTACTTCATGAGCTATTGACAAAGGGTGTGTTTAACACCGCGGTGCAGGTAATTTATAAGAGCGCAAGGTTTAAGCTCGCCGTTCGACACTTTGAGATTACGCTTTCACTTTGCAGCTTTTGACTCTCAAGGAAACATCAAGCTCTTCAAGATGAAGCTGTGGTTCGTTGCTGCCATACTTATCTCCGCTGCGCTTCCAGCTGGTAAGTGATTTCATCGAAAAATGCATATTTCACCCGCACTCTTTCTGTTTGCAGCGAGGAAATGGAAGGCGAAGCCTTTCGTGTAAATCATGTTAGACTCACCCCTAGTGCAGCAAAACAGAGAAAAAATGATGTTACATAGTACTTTGTTGCTATAGAAAAGAAAACTCGTGAGTCCCCACGATTAATACCTACAATACCTTCGTCGCCAAGAATCTTATCCATCATTTAAGCTTCAAGAAAGGCAGAACCCTGATCCCGGTATAATATGAATTTACAGTCCAGTCAAAAACCTGAATTATTTTCCACTCTTCGGCTTTATATCGACGTATGTTGCTTTGTTTTTAAATTTGATTAACAAAAAGGTTTCAAAATTGATGCATATCATTGGAAATTTAAGGAGACGCACAAATAACTTTCTCAAGTGTCGGTGCAGGATTAGCGATTCTTTTCGTTGCGGTTTACGTTCAAAATCCGACCATTTTGGAACCAGCTCAAACCAACAATTTACGCTCTATAGTTTCTGCCTTTTCGTTGCGGTTTACGTTCAAAATCCGACCATTTTGGAACCAGCTCAAACCAACAA